GGTTGATGAACTTGTGGGCATGATTTTGATGAATTTGTGGGCATGAACTTGTTTGTGTCAAATTTTACATGTTCATTTTTGTCCAAAATATCCATATATGCAAAATGCCCGGCGAGTCGCGCGCGCTGCATTTTAGCGCGCTGCATTTCGGCGCGACTGCTGGAGCCAGCACAGGCGGACGCGCAAAACCAGCCGCAGCGCGCGCGCTAATAGATTTTTTGCGCGCGGCGCTTTAGCGCGGCCGTTGGAGATGCTCTAAGAGAGTTGAGTGGGTGCTAAAAATTCCGCTGCCGCGGCTTCGCCTCCGACTCCTTTGACGCGTCGCTCGACCGCTTCACGGCTCCCACGGTGGCGGTCTACCCTGAGCACGCGATCACGAGCAGTCTGCGCAGAAGCTCCCCACCAAAGAGGGCGAGCGGCGCAGGAAGCTCGTCGCGGTGTCCCTGGTGTAGTCGGCGCCCTGCTCGCCGTCTTCGTCACGCCGGCAGCGCACGCACCAGAGAACGCCCACGTGAAGCTCAACGTAGTCTCCTCGTTTTGGCTCCTGGAGGCTGGAGCAGTGCCTCACATGTCGTCTCCTCATTCCAGCAGCACAAGACGTATACTGAGGTGGCCCGAACGGGCTCATGGCTTGGCTTGATCTTCCAGTACAAGGTGAGCATATCCAGCTGCTGGATTGGCAGCTCCACACCGTCGACCATGGTCTTACCAGCTTGCTCGTCCATGCGCCAACAGTCACGACACATTTGGCGCCGTCGAACACCTCGCTGTCGCTCGTCATCACCCGGACACGGGCCGGCTCCCCCTTCCTTCTGACGACGCGGCTGACTTCCTCTTGTCTGACGACGACGCCCTTCCTGACGGTCAGCGGCTGCAACATTGCGACTGCCTTGGTAGCGTCCAGCATGCCGCCGTCTAGCTCCCCCACCCTCCTCGCGCACACCTCGGGGAAGCGGAACACCCTCCTCACCTCCGCTGCGCCCCCGTTCTCGACGACGAAAAGGAGCGCAGGCCCATGGAAAGGTGCGGCGACGGGGTCAGTGGCTCAGTGCACCGTTTTCTGCCTGGGCGTCGTGCCAGAGGTTACGGGCGAGGCGGGCCATGGGCCATCGCCTGGTAGCGGACATCTGCCTGACGCCGCGGATGGTGCGGCACTGGCCGTGCGAGGAACGGACGTGGTGGAGCAGGTGGAAGAGCTAGCTCGGGGTCTCGGGGAGGAGGAGCGCGTGATGGCCGGCATCGAGCTCGGCAACGTCATGGGCAGGGTAAGGGCATCTCCAACGCCAACCATCAAACCGCCCACTATTGTTCGGACGTGTTTTTCCCCCGTAAATTAAAAGCAAATGGGCAAGAGTACGAACCGCCCATCACGTAGACTCTAACATCCCCGCCCACTTGAATTTCACTCCCGGTCTCATTCTCTTCCACTCCGTCTTTGCTCCCCTTGCTTTGCATGTGCGCTTTCCTCCTCTCACGCCATGGTTGTACCTCTCCGGCCGTCACCAGGGCATTGCCAGACGTCCGCAACCACCACCCACACGCACGCTCACCTTGCACTATAGCGCCGTCCACCCAGGATCCGTCTGCAACCAGATACCCTCCGCCCCCCTGTCGACGACGTCCATGATAGACACCACGCCTAGCAGGTGTTCGGTCAAATGTCATTGAGCTTATTATTGAATTTCATTTCGATTTTTTAGAGCATGAAGGATAGCAGGGTACTCGAGCATGGATGATGATTTGTTGTGTGACGCATGGCTGTATCCATGGATTCTGTAGGAAAGACCAGAAGGGGGCTCTTCTGGTAGCGCGTGCATGGTTCATTTCACGCGCGAAAGCACACTGCGTCGTACGACATGCGCATTATCCATGAACACAATGTGAAGTCGTTAGCGTAAAGATGGTACACCATTCAGAACTCTGTCGTCAAGTTTTGTAAAGTGGTTATCCAGCTAGAGGAAACATGACCATTGCACGCAGCAACCATGGAGGTCGTAAGTTTGCTTCTTCTTGCTCAACTTGTTGATTGACTCATTCATTCACTACTCAATGTTGCTTTGCACAACATGTAGCCTGTACGCGTTGTTGTGGCCCGTGATGTACCACAGGGCAGGGGGCAGACCATTCATGCACATACATTGTTGATGAAACCGAAGGGTCAGTATGTGTGAGACGACATGATCCGTTCATAAAAAAGTTGTTGAGCATCCGGTTAATCTCGTTGAATTTGTACTATTGTTGTAATAGAATTATTTGCATGTTATGTATGGATGATTACTGCTATTTTCTATCCGAACTTTGATGAAGTCTGTCGTGTTTGAATTTCGTTCGGATAGCTGAAATGTGGTTTGAAATGTATGTGGATAGTTTTGGATGGTCGGCTCCCGCATCCGAGTCCGCGGATTAGCCCCTATATGCGTATGAATACGGTGTCCGGTTTGCAGTTCAAAGATGGAGCTAAACACACACAAGGTGGTCGATAAAATGCTACTGTTGTACGTATGAAAGAGTGTGGTAAGGATGTCCAGTTTGCGGTTCAGCGGTGGAGCTAAACACACACAAGGTGGTCGATAAAATGCCACTGTATGTTGTACGTATGAAAGAGTGTGGTAAGGATGTCCGGTTTGCGGTTCAGCGATGGAGCTAAACACACACAAGGTGGTCGATAAAATGCCACTGTATGTTGTACATATGAAAGAGTGTGGTAAGGATGAGAGAGAAAACCAGTGACACGTCAGCGGCTTTTCTCTTATTTTTGGTTTTGGATGTAATCTCTCCGGTTTTTAAACATAAGGGACTAAATGTCGACCAGAAAAAGATAAGAGACAAATATTGACTTCTTGTAAATTTGAAGGAACAAAAATATATCTTTATCTAGTTTAAACACATCATTATAACTCTCTTTTTTTTTGCGTGGGAAACCTCATTATAGTTACGTAGTGCTAAAATAGCATTAAGTGGTTAGACAATTAGTGTTAAGTATATAGTAGTGTAACTTATTCTGTAGTACTACTACTTTTAGTCTAAGCTTGCGCTTCATTCCATTCTTACTTCTTACTTTAAGATGCTTATTAATTCGGCTAACAATAATCGATAGTGAAGCTGTACAACACATTTGTCTTGACATCTTATTTTACCGAACTGCAGAATTCAATGTTCACCACCCCATCTTCTTAGGGAACATTGAAAGTGAGCTCCGTTAGTCTTGTCTGCTAGACTTGAGCAGTTCGGTTTTCAATAACATTGAATGCAAACTCCACTGGACCAGTTTCTAAAAATTGCCATGATGTAATCCCTATCATGCATTAGCCATGGTGTCATTTCTGTTTTGGTTCAGTTGTATTCCTGGTTTAGGTAAGGTTTATTTCCTTGTAACTTGTACTTCATGCGGTTCTAACACCGTGTTCTTCATGTTTCAGTTAAATTACACTTCCTAGTTTAGGCATGATGTACTTTCTTTTGTATCAGTTCTACTCCATACGATTTTAACAACTTGTTCTTCCTATTTGGGTAAACCGTATGTTGTGGTTTAGGCAATTTGTTCTTCTATTTCTTATCAA